GGTCTCAAACGTTTTGATCACAATTTATGTAAACACATATTTCCAAGGCACTCCTTTATAATTATTGGGATAAAACAGGTTTGAAATCATTCCAATGTATACTATAGGACAGTGAACCAGACATATCGTTTTAAACTGGAGAGATACAAAAATATGCATAAATAAAATAGTAAAATAAGATATGAATGAACAACACAAATAAAATACGTTACATGTATTTGTTATTGGCTATAGGTTATTGGTTATGCTCACATACTTATTTAATTATTCAAATGTAAACCGATCTTTTTCATATGGGTGTTTAGAGTTGTACCCCCTAGCTCTAGTCTCTAGTAATTCTGCCTAAAGTGCACCAGATTGAAGCATTTTACTTTAAACAAACATTTCTTCCCGGTATGCCTGAGAAGGCAGATATGCTTGTTTTTCTCAACAAGAACTGTTTTTAAATGGGGGGGGGGTCCTTTTAAAAGTTGGACTGTTGTAGCTTCAGTGGTTCTCAGGTTACAGTTACATAGCAGTGAATATAAACAGACTGATTAATGTGAATATTACTGGAAACTAACCTGTGTAAAAGTTTCTCGAATAAATGTAAATGTTTTGGTGGAAGAAGCATGTATCATTTTTTTACCCTGCCCCTCAAAGAATCGGAATTGAGAACCGTTAAGAATCGGAATCAGAATCGTGGAAATTCAAACGATACCCAACCCTACCCACAATGCACTGCAGCATCATACATTAACCCTGTCATGTGACAAGGACAGCTTTCAACCTCTCTACCCTCCTCCAGCAGTACCACGAAGATGGAGCTCGTATCGAGGCAGCCTTCCGGCGCTACATCCATCGCGCCGACACCAAGCAGAAGGAGGACAGCTACGAGATCATCGTGTGCCACGCCAACGTCATCCGATACTTCGTCTGCAGGTTGGTCTCTCAGCCAAACTCTGCGTATGTCGCTCAGCAAAGACTAGAGTGTGGTCTTCCTGCTTCGCTCACTATTGTGTTTAAACTAGAGCTAATCAAATAGCATTATGGACCAGTGCAATAACCAAATCGCAGTAAGAGTTATATTTGGTAAAGGCGAAATATGTGAAAATATCTAAATGAAGAATTGAGGCCCAGCTCACAAATGGTATCCAAACCATGTCCATTTTAACATCATTTTTCAATGATAATCTGAATATTGTTCAAAAAGGGTCGTTCACACTTAAATCGTAAATTATGTTGCAATTGCAATATCACTCAAAATAATCACGATGAGTTTTACGTTTTTTTTAAATCTTGCAAAACTAGTTTAAACTATTAAGCAATATCTTTTTGATTATGTGCTGAACTTGTCTCGTTAAACTCTTAAGGGAACTCTAAATAGAAATGTCCAGTTTAATCTTAATATATTAGCCCTTTGTTTTTATTGGTTTCCTCTGCGTCTGGTTGAAATAGTTTATTTAGTATATCTAGTTTGTTATGACAAGGGTTTAATAGAGCGGTCCAGAGACTTTTGAAGAACGAAAGCAGATGGGATTTTTCTGCAGATTTGGGGATATTGCAGAAAATAAGGTATGTGGCAAACACACGTTTTTCTCAGAGATAATCTTCACACATTGACACCACTTTTATACATTTTAAAGCGTAAATGCAAGTAAAAAGTTAACATTTTGATGAGCCGCATCACCACTGCTAAGCTAAAGGTGGCTACTGCTCGCCGTGATGACATTATACTCATTCAGAAACTTGTTTGCAACTGCCGTATTTAGTTCATGAATAAAAGCTTCAGATATTCACCAATGTAGTCATTACCGTACGTATCTTCTGTAATCTGTTCAGACGAGGGAATCAGAAGCGGTAAAATGCTAACTAATTTCTGGATTTTAGGACTCATTCCTGCACCGCTCTATATCGTTCAAATGACTACTTACTGAACCGATTAACCCACGATTTGTACTATAATATAATCCTTCCTCTCGTTGTCTCAGGGCTCTGCAGTTTCCCCCTGAAGGCTGGTTGCGGATGGGCTTGAACAACGGCAGCATCACGTGGCTCACCATCCGGCCCAGCGGCAGGGTGGCCCTCAGGACTCTGGGGGACTCGGGATTCATGCCCCCCGACAAACTGACTCGCACCTGACGGCCTCACGCAAGTCTCTGGGACTCTGATTTCAGTCGGTTGGTTGCAGGGTCAAAGCTCAGTTCTCTCCTTAAGTGTCTTGAAAATTACTTTTGATGTTATTGTTTTGTAAGTGAACTACCATCATGTAATGACACTCTGTGGTCGTGATTACTCCGTGCCATAGAACGCCAGCAGAAGCGATCAAACGGCTGCGCCTGAATGTAACTGAGGATTTTTACACAAGTGACTGATTTTTAAACCAAAAAAAAAGTTGTATTTGTATAGCTGTTGTAAATGCAAACCCTGCTCTTAGCTTTACAGCTGTCACTGTATGCTGGAGTGTGGATTCATGTGTTGTATGGTGCAGCTGTAGTAAATAAAGTTAAATGATGAATACCTCAGTTTGTCACATTTCTTAAAGAGGCCCTATTATGTTTTTTCCTGTAGTGTTATATATGTTTTTGTTCATGTAAATCAGGGGTGTCCAAATGCGGCCCGTGGACCATTTTGAATCGGCCCTCAGCAAATTCCAAAAGCACAATGGAGTACGACCCACAAATGAAACTTGTGCTTGTCTTATATTGTACTTCTTAAATATAAATGTAAACATATATTACACAGTAGTATTCTTGTGTTGATACGACCACACAAATAAATTCACTCGATTAAAGTTGGAAACATTTTCTTACATATCTAGGTTGATAAGAAAAAAGCCCAATGACTTATTTCCATAACAAGCTTGAAATACACCCTTCCTATTTCTCCTTATTATAATCACTCTTCTGTTTTAAGGGATGAGCTGTTAACACTCACGAGCATCATGTACCTACATTTGATTGATTTTCCTAACTTATAACTGAACTTACGAGGCAATAAACCTCTAGTGAGCGGCCCAGCCCTTCGTATATTTTCTGTATGTGGCCCTCGGTGAAAAAAGTGTGGACACCCCTGCTGTAAATGGTCTGCAAACGCTAAAATCCAAAAGTTCCCTCCAGAGGGATTTTCTACTGGCTAGCTCTCTAATACTTGAATGGCTACGGGAGCTCGACATATCTAAGCGGTTGACCAATCGCAACTGAGCCGACCAGCTAACCAATCAGAGCAGACTGGTCTCTGGTTTCAGACGGAGGGTGAAAAGAAGGCTCCAAAATGGACACTGCGCTGGTGAAGTTTAAGGGCACCAGTCTGGGAAAAGGCTTTCCCACAATGGCCACACACCAGTATAGTTTCTCTTCAGTGTGAATTTCAAGATGAGCTCTCCAGTGTGAATGCGATAATATGCCTGAAGTTCATCTGTATTGACAGATTTGCCACATTGGTCACAGCTGTACCGTTTCTCTCCAGTGTGAGTGCGTTGGTGGACTTTCAGGGTATTACCCAAAGAAAAGGTTTTCCCACACTGGTCACAGCTGTTTGGTTTCTTTCCAGCGTGAACGCGCATGTGGAGATTAAGGTTAATACTCCGAGGATAGGCTCTCCCACACTGGTCACATGAGTAGATTTTCTCCAGTGTGAATACGATAATGTGTCTGAAGGTCACCTGATTGAGTGAAAGATTTCTCAGATTAGTCACAGCTGTACAGTTTCTCTCCAGTGTGAATACGTTGATGAATCTTTAAAGTATTAGATGTTAAGAGGACTCGTTAAACTGGTCCCAGATGTGAGGTTCGGTTTGCTTTCTTTACTCCATTTCTAAAATATACGGAGAGAGACAAGGTGCCAGTGAGAGGTAGTCGTGCAGAGACCTAAAAACATGAAAACAAGCCCATTTGATTTTATACGACCAAATCATTCTTGATTAAATTTGATTCTATTTTCTTTCATTTAAAAAAACAAGCAAGAAATAGTCAAACAAATTCATTAAAAATAAAAGCTTTGAGGTTATTGTGAACAATTTCTCTAAGTGTAACAGGTTTAAAAATAATACAAAAATACAAGTTTTACTTTATTTACAACAACATATTTATACTATTTATAAAAAACTTGAAAAAAAAAGTTTATATTTTAAAATATATTTAATTATTTGTATACTTTAATTATTCCACCTTTTTATTTTGTATGTAACGCCTGAACACACCGCTGCTGTAACAAAAACATTTTCCAATTCGGGATCAATAATCTATCTATTTTATTAATTATAACAAGGGAATGACATAATCTGTAATCTGCTGTAAAACACAAACACTATGCAGGAACTGAGTCTGTTTTAAAGTCTTTATTGATTTTATTTGAGTATTTAATACAAAAGGACAGAATACAAATCCGGAATATGTTCTCACTTGTGCTCCCAGACGCACTTTTAATGAACTAAAACACACACTTTAAATCTGTTAATCTGGACAGTTCCCTCCTCCCTCCGCACTACGCTCTGCGGGTGAAGTGCTGTGAGTCTCTGAACTCGAGGTAGAGGCTGAACAGGAGGTGCAGAGCCTGGATTCTGCAGCCGTGGTGCACCGGGACGTCCAGCAGGGCGCAGACGGCGTCGCTGTACTGGTCCAGGCTGCAGGCCAGGCGGGCGGGGGGGGGGTGCAGGCGGCCCAGCAGCTCCTCCAGCTCGGGGGGCCACTCCTGCATCAGGCTGTCGATGTCCGGCATGCTGCGGCCGTAGTGCACGCTGGCGGGCGGTTTGGATCGATGCAACGCGCTGATGCTCTCCATCCAGCTGTCCACGGCGCGAGGGTTAGAGAGCGGACTCAACACACTGGTCACCTTCTTCAGCTGCAGGGAGAGAAGGAGTCATATACAGATGTATCTACAGATGTATCTACAGATGTATTTGACTGGACACTGATACAGCGAGCACAGAGAGGTGTTTAAAGCATGTATTACGTTTTATTAAGATGACGCTTTTAATATTAAGAAATTGAAAGCAACATTATTTTTGCAATATTTTATTTGTTTTATGTCTTATATATATATCACTCGTCACTTTTCTAATCAGCCCTTATAATATGAATTTAACAGTATTAAAAGAATGTTTTTTCAACATACAAAGTTTACCAGATGATCTCAGGAAAGAGTGTGTGTGTGTGTGTGTGTGTGTGTGTGTGTGATTCTGTGATACAGGTGTGTGTACCTCGGTGGCCCCGTGCTGTTTGCTCTCCTCTGAGAGCCACAGCGACAGCACCGTGGGGTCCGACTGCTTCACGCTGGGCTCGTCCAGAAACAGCAGACCCAGACTGTCCTCTTTCCCATCCGGCCGCGGCACCTGAACGCACCACGGGTTACAAGACAGAGCTCAGGGGTCACACAGAGGTCAGGGGTCACACAGAGGTCAGGGGTCATTTTGATGACCTCTACATGTATTTTTGTAATTTTGTTCACAACAATAACAGGATTAAACGTAAATAAAAGTAACTTTTGAAAACAATAGCGGTGGCCAGATGTTTTGAAAACCGACAGCTACCTTGAGGAAGGCGTCGATGTCTCCCACTGCGGGGATGAAGTCGGGGATGAAGGGCTTCAGGCTGTGTTCCAACTCTATGCACTGAGGACTGTACCTGAGAGCAAAAACACACATCAGATTATTCTCTTCTTTTATCGCTGACATGTCAAATATGACATGTGTTGTGTGTATGATGTTATATGCAGAGAGTGCAGCAGAGTCTTTTGTCTTTTGGCGATAAAACTGTGAGGCTGAAAATCCCCTGAAAGTTAAAAAACGCATTGAAGAAATATTGAATTTTAGTGAAGCTGATTTTTGCAGAAAATGGAAGAAATACTTGTGAATTAAAAAGGAATAATTTAAATTGTGATGTGATTCTGAAGTATTTATGTGAATGCTCCTCTCAGAGATGCAGGTAGTAAATACTATCGCAAGTAGTACAAAACAGGAGGTGTGTGTTTCTGCAGTACTTCTCTCAGAGATGCAGTGTAGTAAATACTCTGCAGTAGTAACAACTGAGGTGTGGTGTTTTCTGCAGTACTTCTCTCCGAGAGGGGCAGGTAGTAAATACTCTGCAGGTAGTACAACTGAGGTGGTGTGTTTCCTGCCAGTAACTTCTCTCAAGAGAATGCAGGTAGTAAATACTCTGCAGTAGTACAACATGGAGGTGTGTGTTGTCTGCAGTACTTCTCTCAGAGATAGCAGGTAGTAAATACTCTGCAGTAGTACAACATGAGGTGTGTGTTTCTGCAGTACTTCCCTCAGAGATGCAGGTAGTAAATACTCTGCAGTAGTACAACATGAGGTGTGTGTTTCTGCAGTACTTCTTTCAGAGATGCAGTAGTAAATACTCTGCTAGTACATACAGACAACAGAGGGGTGTGTTTCTGCAGTACTCTCTCAGAGATGCAGGTAGTAAATACTCTGCAGTAGTACAACAAGTGTGTGTGTTTCTGCAGTACTCTCTCAGAGATGCAGGTAGTAAATACTCTGCAGTAGTACAAACATGAGGTGTGTGTTTCTGCAGTACTTCTCTCAGAGATGCAGGTAGTAAATACTCTGCAGTAGTACAACATGAGGTGTGTGTTCTGCAGTACTTCTCTCAGAGATGCAGGTAGTAAATACTCTGCAGTAGTACAACATGAGGTGTGTGTTTCTGCAGTACTTCTGCTCAGAGATGCGGTAGTAAATACTCTGCAGTAGTACAACATGAGGTGTGTGTTTCTGCAGTACTTTCAATCTCAGAGTGCATGTAGTAAATACTCTGCAGTAGTACAACATGATGTGTGTTTCTGCAGTACTTCTCTCAGAGATGCATGGTAGTAAATACTCTGCAGTAATACAACATGAGGTGTTTGTGTTTCTGGCAGTCTTCTCTCAGAGATGCAGGTAGTAAATACTCTGCAGTATACAACATGAGGTGTGTGTTTCTGCAGTACTTCTCTCAGAGATGCAGTAGTAAATACTCTGCAGTAGTACAACATGAGGTGTGGTGTTTCTGCAGTACTTCGCTCAGAGATGCAGGTAGTAAATACTCTGCAGTAGTACAACATGAGGTGTGTGTTTCTGCAGTACTTCTCTCAGAGATGCAGGTAGTAAATACTCTGCAGTAGTACAACACATGAGGTGTGTGTTTTCTGCAGTACTTCCCTCATAGATGCAGGTAGTAAATACTCTGCAGTAGTACAACATGAGGTGTGTGTTTCTGGAGCAGTACGACTTCTCTCAGAGATGCAGGTAGTAAATACTCTGCAGTAAGTACAACGAGGTTGTGTTTTTCTGCAGTACTTCTCTCAGAGATGGCAGGTAGTAAATACTCTGCAGTAGTACAACATGAGTGTGTGTTTCTGCAGTACTTCTTCAGAGATCGTAGTAAATACTCTGCAGTAGTACAACATGAGGTGTGTTTCTGCGTACTTCTTCTCTCAGAGATGCAGGTAGTAAATACTCTGCAGTAGTACAAAATGAGGTGTGTGTTTCTGCAGTACTTCTCTCAGAGATGCAGGTAGTAA